GCAGTATAGTCGGACGGGGCCGACCATACGATACCCTACACAACTACCACGGAACTGTAATTTTCTGCGATTGTTTATTCCAGCCTGGGCAATATTTCGTGACATATACACCCTGTTGCCCAATTAGAGGCCAACAGCACCTCTTCCTTACACTGAATACTCTTCTGAATATTACCAATATTCAGTACAGCCCTTCTAATTGACCAGATTACCTTCACCGTGTGTTGTGTTGTGACGTTCGGCTTTCAATTGTGGCCTATAGATCGACTCGAAAAATCACAAAAAATTAAGTTTCCCAAAAATAGTATCTGATCTTCATCGAAAATGATAGGCGTTGTACTTGACCATAACTGGAACCGCTTGGCAAATTTCAAAGCGATCAGCGCGATATTTCCGCCCTCTAGTGTTGTAATGGGTAACTAAATAATATCTGAATACGTAAGCACCTGTAAATATTTAAGTGTAACTCCAACATCCGAGTACATACGACAATATAATTGGTGTCAATTTAAAGGTCAACCACTCCTCTTATATATAATCAACTTCTCGGGTATGTGTCCTCCACGGGTAAATATATACATCATAGAATACAAATTTTGTAATTTTTCACTCAAAAGTCAGGGTCCATTTGACCCGCTAAATACTGACCGATCTTTATCAAAACAGGCATGCTTATTCTTTGACCCGATCCCCTTCTCCATGTCAAATTTCGAGACGGACGGACGGACACACATGTCTAGATCGACTCAGCTAGTCAAGATATGACGATCGGTATACTTAAAGGTAGGTCTAGGACCAATATATCTCGGCGTTACAAACTCTTGGGGCTGCACATAGTTGTGTAGGGTATAAAAATCTACAATTAACTTATTTGTTATTAAAGTGATGAGTAAAGGCGCTAAGTCCAATTTATCATATGTCCGTCCTTGTTTTTTTTTCTCTCCTGTAAAATTGTAAAACATAGACTTATTTTTTATGCATTCAGACACATTTCGAATGCATTTTCAATATATGTTGTAATTTATTGTTTCACATTCCGAACGAATCACATTCATTGATTCGAAATGTCGGATATATGAAAATCCAAAATTTTGTGAATATAGATATAGGTGTGTGTTCATGAAATATTTATTAAATTCTTTGAAAACCTGAAACCCTCAAAACAAGAAACACCGACTAAAAATTAATCTGAGCTTGTTACTCATCAAGTTGTGACAACTTATTTTGGCCAATGTCCACAGAACATCGCGTTGTTCTCATGGTTATACTGTACGGTACTCAATTGTTATTGTATGCTATGTTTAGTAGGTATGTATGTACGTACGTGTTGACACCACAATATCTGTACAGCATGTATCTAAAAAGTTTATGTCATTATATTTTGTTATGTACATAGGTTTGTGTGTGCATTTGTAGCGACGCCCAAAAAAAAAAATGAAAACAAAATTAAAAATAATACTGTTACCGTTTTATTTTTTTTTTTATTTATGATTTTATCTGTTTTTTCTCGCTGTCTGCTTTTAGTTCCGACTGGAACTAAATCATTATCAACACAATGATTTCAGTAGACCGTTGTCGACAAACCGCCATCAGGTTGCTCATGATCACTCATAGAATGAAGAGTGTGCTTTGGGATTTTGTATTTTAGTCGAAAAAGTGCAGCAGACAAGGCAACACAACGAAAGTCATATTCGTAACATTGAAACAGAAAACGTTAGTCGGTCGGTCGTTCGTTCATTCGGTCCCAAAAACAAAGACAACAACTCAAACAAAAATATATATTGCTTTTACAACTCACTCTCACGTCTGAGTCGAATATCTCTAGCTTGTGTCTAATGTAGATGTAAAACGAAAACAAAAACAAAAGAAAATACGAAATTAAAGTTGATCGTGGCACTGATTTTTGCGCACAAATCGCATTAAAATCTTGTACCGTTGCGTCTGCGCACAATCTTTGTATCGGGCGTCTTTTGCGGTGCGACCCAACAACAAACAACGAAGACGAGAAACAAACTACAGCTGATTTTGTTTGGATTTTGCAGTGTGTGTGTGTGCGTGTATGTGTATGTCGAAGTTCATGTGAGTGCTGGTGGGATTGTTTACTTAATGAACTTGGCTTTGAGTTTTTTTGTTTGTGCTTTTGCATTTTAATATTATGGAAATAGAAACATGTGTACATACATACGTACGTATATACATCCGCATTTGAAACTCTTTTTTTTTAATTTAAAGTATATTTTAATATAAAAAAATGTTAGAAAAGACTGATATCATGTATTATTTAATCGTATGTATATTTCATTCACACCGTTTGTCAATTAATTAGAAAGAAAGAAATATATGTGAATTTCGAGAAGTTCGTTAAAATGCAGTGAGATGATATTAAAATAATATAAACAACGAAATTAAAATTGTTTATTAATAAGTAACAAACATTTTGAATATCCCTCAGCAAATGAAATAATACAAGTAACAAGTAAAAAATGTAAGTCGATGTTGCCGACAGATATATACCTCACCCTATGGATTGCGGAGCATGTCTTCGGAGGTTTTATTGTTTGTTTTATATAAGGTATACAGTTGCGGTCAAAATAATAGCAGCGCACATTACAATCAATATTTGGATAACGGAGCAACATGCAGTGATCGGACCATTCCAAAATAATTTTTTTATGGTGAAACTGTATCCGGACAATATATAGGATGTCAAAGGATCTGTCAAAGAAAGTGGATGACATATGACGCTTTGAGCGTTTTTCTCGCACTGCGAAGTTCGATATTGGATTTTAAATACAATGGACGCTGCTCAATGCTGCATCATATTATGTTTCCATATGCTGAATATAGAATGCATACATATAAAATAGAAATTTCAACAGGACAATGATCCAACACAAACCAGTCAATTAGCAAAACAATTGTTTCAGCACAGCAATATAGATATTGTGGATGGGGCCGTGCAGTCAACGGATCTAAATCCAATTAAAAATTTGTGGTGCAATTTCAAAAAGAAGGCCGTCAGAGATAAACGCAAGAATAATAATTTGTTTTGGAGTGACATTTTAGAAGCAGCAGCAGCAGTATGTTTAATGAAGGATTTTTCGGATTTTATGTTGACCAAATATATAATATTCACCCTTTTTGACGGATATGCCAGAGGAGAGGTTCCCAATTTTGGGCTTGATCTGGGCTTCGTAAATGTAATAGATTATTCAAAATTTAGTTCAAATCTGGAATTCCATTTGGATTTATAAATATTGAAAATGTTGAACATTTATAGGGGAGGTACCAGAAGGAGTACACTAATGGGTATCATCTTCGGACTTGACCTAGGCTGGGTAGAGATAATAGGTTGTGCAAAGTTTGATTCAAATCAGGCGAATGGAAAGCCTGATATTGGATTCATAAATACGAAAAATTTAGACCATTCGGACTTGATCTAGGCTTGGTAAAGATAATAGCTTGTGCAAACTTTGGTTAAAATCGGACATTCCAATCGTCTGATAATAGATTCATAAATAAAAAAAATGTTGACAATTTGTGGGGAGATACCAGAAGGAGTGGACCGATCAGTCCCATTTTTATACCCTTCAGGTACAGGGTATTATGTCTTTGTACATATGCTTGTAACAGGAAAAAGGAAACGAAATAGACACATGGTTCCTTTTGAGAATATGCATAGAATCACTATCTAAGTCCATTTATGCATGTCCGTATGTCTATCTGGCCATGTTAAAGTCTAAACAAAGTACAGGTCGCATTTATAATCCGATTTGGATGAAATTTGGTACAGGTCACTTATTTGGCCCAAGGACGAACCCTATTGGAAATTGGGAAAAATCGGTTCAGATTTAAATATAGCTCCCATATATATATTACCGTCCGATTTAATGCATCGATTTGCATGAAATTTGGCACAGCGTAATGAATTTGGTCTAGAATGATGTGTGTCAAGTTTCCTGCAAATCGGTTCAGATTTGGATATAGCTCCCATATATATATATTCAGATTTGGATATAGCTCCCATATATATATTCGTCCGATTTAAGGTAAATGGTGTACCAAAGTCCCTATATATCTTTTGATTTACAAGAAATTTGACACAGCGTCTAGAATGATGTGTGCCAAGTTTCCTAAAAATCGGTTCAGATTTGGATATAGCTCCCATATATATTTTCGTCCGATTTAAGGCAGATGGTGGACCAAAGTCCCTATATATCTTTCGATTTGGCACAGCGTAATGAATTAGATCTAGAATGATGTGTGACAAGTTTCCTGAAAATCGGTTCAGATTTGGATATATATCTCCTAGATATATTTTCTTCCGATTTAAGGTAAATGGTGTACCAAAGTCCCTATATATCTCTCGATTTTTACGAAATTTGGCACTGCGTAATGAATTAATTGACACAAAATTTTGCACACAACTAAAGATAATATAACGTAGCATGTAGAAAGTTTTGTACAAAATGAAAAAATCGCAGTTGCAAACATAAATTTACTGTGAAAAAAAACTTCATTTCGTCCCTGCGTACGTCCCTGGTATTTACCACATTACAGCCAATTTACCACATTACAGCCAATTTACCACATTACAGCCAATATTGTGATTACTATAGTGGTTTTAACAGACAGACATACGAACACGCATAAATCGACATAGAATTTATTCCAATCAAGAATATATACTTTATGGGGTATCCGCCATCATATAAGTGTATATAAATAAGGTATTTAATAAATAAACATGTAGATGACTTCATTTAATAATATTTACATTATTTTTAGATTTAAAATTTAAATAATTTTGTTAAAATCGTATTTTTCATATAATTTTAGAATTTGGAAAGCCACAACACGGAAAGTTTTATTACAAATGTGTACAATTGAGAGCTGAAAAAAAACATAAAATAGTAATACCAACTTTTATCGCATCCATCAACCCCACTGTCGCCCTTCCCCACAACTAATTCCCCCTAAGCAGCAACTCATTCCATAGGAAATGGCTTCAAACACAGATGCAGATACCCAGGTGGCTATAGAAGATCTACCCATTACATTCAAGGTAGGTAAATTGTTGTATAATTAGAACTACAAAAAAAACAATACATGATTTCCATGTTTTGACATGGAGTAGAGAAGCGAAAAACGTGTCATAGCCATGTTTAATTTTTTTGCTATTCTAATGTGAAATTAATTTAGTCCACTGGTTACGCATGACTACCAAGCTACCAACATTGGTTGATTTTGTACAGTGACATAAAGTTTTAAAATTATATGACAACTCAGGTTTATATTGTGGTACTTTACTTCCGGCCATTAAACGAAGCGAACAGTAACCAAAATATGTTTATTACATTTAATTGTTCTTTTCTTTTTTGTGCACTCTTTACTACACACGTTGATATTTTATTTATAACAATATTTAATTAAAATTTCTAATTTCTATCTCTTTTTTGTTTTTGACGTTTAGGTGAAATATATTGGCTCTGAAATTGCCCGAGGCCTGTGGGGCATCAAATACACTCGTCGTCCCGTTGACCTAATGGTTGGTATGGCCAAAAATCTCCCGCCCAACAAAACTTTGCCCCATTGCGAACTGAAAGTCTCAACCGATGGTGTAAGCATCGAAATTATCTCACCGAAAGTCCAAGGTGTGAGTAGTTGGAGTTATCCGATCGATACGATATCATATGGCGTACAAGATCTAGTCTATACCAGAGTATTTGCTATGATTGTGGTAAAGGATGAGTCACATGTCCATCCGTATGAGGTGCATGCCTTCGTCTGTGATAGCAGAGCAATGGCACGTAAATTAACATATGCTCTGGCTGCTGCCTTCCAAGATTATTCTCGGCGTGTTAAGGAGAACACTGTGGAGGATAGTGATAAAATAACACCGGCGAGACAAAAGTTTGCCATCGATTTAAGATCACCTGAAGAATTGGCAGAGGGCATTGAAGATGAAACTGAAGCGTAATAGGTCGATGATCGTATACTAATAGTTGTAGATTTTTCTGTTTTAATTTTTATGTTTTTGTGGATGGAGAAAACAAGAATGTTTTAAAGCAGTTTACAATATGGGATGTTATATTAGAAGAAGGAGAGGAGAACTAAAAAAGTAAATTTTAAACCTAATAATACAGAATCGTGGCGAGACGCACGGTTATGACCTAACATTTAAAGGATATACGTAAACCGATATATGAGTCGTTTATTTTTTCTAACATTGATATATTTAAGTACAGTCGAATTCGGTTATGCGAAAAGGGCTAATTTCAGAAAATTGTTTTTTCTTAAGCAGGATTTTCAATTAAGAGAACTTCGGATAAGCGAAAGTCGTTGCGCTTAAATATCTGAAAAATCAATCGATATCTGAAAAATCGTGAAATTTAAAAATCATATTATAAAGTGAATTGGATAAGAACTTATTTTTTCATAGACATTTAATAAATTTCGTCGCCCTTACAAAAATTATATTTTTTCTCTTAAAGTGTTTGAAAATTCATCCGAAATATTAGTTTAAAACTTTTAGTTTCAATTAACTGATTTTTCGATAAACCGGCATTTGCTTATTCGAATTCGACTGTATTAATTTTATTTGTGGCTTTGTGCCCTTAAACATGATAGAATTTATAACGTAATATGATTTTTTAAATTTTGGACTTAACCCTTTAAGTGTTTTTGTCCAATATATTCGACATTTAAAATTACTCTCTTCCTTTGCAATTTTTCGGTTATCCTATGTACCGTTACAATTGATGTCTTTGTTTTTGCTGAAAGACAGACAAAACTGTCCGAAGGTTGAAATAAGAATTGTTTTTTTTTCTAAACTCTGTGCCTTCATATCATTTTAAGTACAAAATTTTAGATTTTTATTCCGACAAAATTTTTTTTACACTGAAAGGGTTAAAACACTTTCAAAATAAACGACTCAAATATATCTACAAAAAACGCATCTAAAACTCCTCAAATTTGAGTTATATGAGGTTTTCCATAATCTTAGACCAAACAGTCGTCAATGAGATTTTTTACCTCAGAACCTAAAATTATATGAGAGTAGTCCGGTGTCGTTCGTGAACGACATAGTTCAATTGAACGAGCAAGTCCACTGAAAGAATAAACGACATAGTTCAATGTTTATTATTGCCGTTCATTGAACGATTTTGTTTTCCAAACGCTCAGTGAACGGCGTTGCTCAATGAACGAGACAGAATTTTATTCTACATCTTCAGTGTCGTTCAGGGGTGCTCTGACTTTGAACAACTGAAGGGCGTCAAACAAGAACAATTTCATGTAAAATCTGATAAATTAAAAAAAGGCACTCGGAAAATTAGTCCATCATGACATGCGGTGCTCAAAAGACCAAATACAAATACTGCAGTAGTGTTTTAAGCATAGCTAGACGGACAAAGACAACGGATAGAAGGGAGCTGGACAACTGCAGTTTTTGCCACCACCCATTAAAAAAGTGGAAAAATTACATAGTCAGGTTGTTCGAATGATTGTTAAAGGTCATCATTCTTTACCATTGATGATCAAATAGTAACGTTCAAATAGTCACTCAGTTCAATACCAATTTAACTGTGGGACTATTTGAACGATATAATTTAATTAAACGAGGTGAACGACCTAGTTCATTTTTAACAAAATGACCTAGTTCGTACGATTAATGAACTGAACGAGATTGCACATGGTTATATGAGAGCTATGCCCAAATGTATCGGTCCACTTTTATTGGTGACAGATACATGGAATTGTGACTTTGTGCATATTTTTGTAACCTGCTAAAGAAACTCACAGTTAATTTTGAGGATATGTATGGAATCACTTTCGATTCGAGTAAGATGAACAGCTCATATATTGGGTCCAAGGACGTACTGTATTGAAAATGGTGCAAATCGGTTCAGATTTTGATATGGCTCCCAATTTCCTTCCGATTCAATTTAAATGGTGCCTTAAACTCCGATTGATTCGAACATTTTGTACCCTATAATAATAATCTTAGAAGCATCTCTTGGATATACCCAAAGTAGTAAGATGTAAAACATAGTCGATCCCGTCCGACATTTTAAATTTCCTTACTTCTATTATTATAATAGAAACTGTCTTTAACGTTTTCCTTTTCGAACATCCACCCTAATATATCTTGCCTAAAATATTTTATAAAATAATTTATAATGATTGCAGAAGTATTTAAGTATTGTGATTTAATATATTTACAGTTTTGCGTAAGTTCTTTTTATTATACGTACGATTTTGTTTGTCAATGATTTTACACAAAAATAATGTCCAATAATATAATTTACATAATTTTATGTGTTGTAATATTTGTTTGTATCATTTATTTATTAATTATAATGTAATTAGTGCCTTAGATATGTACAATAGATTGTCCCAGCAGCAGATTTTTTTATAATGAGTCTACCCAATTTTTGTCAATGGAATATTAATATTTGTGGCTATAAATTGTTTTTGAAATACATCATATAAAAATATTATAAAAAATGTGTTCATATAAGATACTTCAATACAATTGATTTTTTCATTTAATATACGTATTTTTTATATTTTAGTATTACCTCTAATATCCGAAAGTCATTTGGTAGATATGCCAAAATATTATATTCAAAAGACACACAATGACAGAGGTTATTTGTATTTAAATTTCTCATATAAACATTATAATTTAAAACAATATAAAAATGTAATATTTATTTCCAAAATCTATAATCAGAAAAGCTTTTGAATTTTTTATGGCACATTTTAATATTATTAACAGATTGAAAATTAATTCCGTTTTCATGGCCAATATAAAATGTAATATATATTAATATTAAATTCCACACAAAATATTTTATATGTATTTATATGAATGTGTGTATGCAAATTGTAGATCTCAATGATCGTCATACAGCTAAAATCCAAAGTCCAATAAATAAACCTATGAAAAAATTCCATCTGTATATATCATTAATAACAAAACAGCTATCACCTCTCTTAATCCTACATTTACCTTTTTATACATTCTACCATAGTACGGAGGAATAACTCATCGTTTCCGACCATACGAAAGGCTCTCTGTTATGAACACTTGTTAAATATTGTCTCGATCTGGCAACTCCATCGAATAGGGACAGGTGTTCAAATAAAAATGCATCCGTAATTTGTATACCCTTCACCACAATGTGGTACAGGGTATTATGTCTTTGTGTATATGTTTGTAACAGGCAAAAGGAAACGAAGGAAATGTGTCTCAAAAGGACACATGGTTCCTTTTGAGAATATGCATAGAATCACTTTCTAAGTTGATTTATGCATGTCCGTCCGTCCGTTTGTCTATACATGTTAAATTGTAAACAAAGTACAGGTCGCATTTATGATCCGAATTGGATGAAAATTGGCATAGGTCACCTATTTGGGCCAAGGACGAAGCCTATTGAAATTGTGAAAATTCGGTTCAGATTTAGATATAGCTCCCATATTTATTTTCGTCCCATTTAAGGTAAATGGTGCACCAAAGTCTCTATAAATAATTCAATTTGCACGAAATTTGGCACAGCGTACCGAATTCAGCCTATACTGATGTGTGCAAAGTTTCGTAAAAATCCGTTCAGATTTAGATATAGCTCCCATATAAAATTTCGTCCGGTTTTAGGTAAATGGTGCACCAAACTGCTAATGTTTGTCCGATTGACACGAACGTTTGCACAATGTATCAAATTGAGACTAGAATTACGTTATTACGTTTTGTTGAAATGGGTGCAGATGCAGACATAGCTTCCATATATATTTCGAACGGGTTCCTGGTTGAGATTATGAAGGAGTTGTCAGATCGAAACCAAATTTAACATGTGTTCATAACAGAGATGGAAGTTTCCAAAACACTTATTTTTTCGGTTTATACCGCCCTTTTTGTACTAGGCTAAGAATTTTCAGACTTCCCTCGTATAACGTACATGTATTCTTAATCAGCATAAATGTTTAAAAATTTAGCATTGAGTCGTCCTTTGTCTAAAGACAAGACAAGTTCGAAGATTGGCTATATCGGTCCACATTTAGGCATAGATTCCATATAAGGCTACCACCACATTTCCGTATTTTGGGGTTCTTGAGCGCATTTTTCAACTGAATACGCTGAAATTTGGTACTTTGAGTTTTTATTGAGTACCAAGTTTCCCCACTAAATATTATAAATATAGGTCCACTTTTTCTGGTAGCCCCTATGTAAGGGTACCCTCCAATTTTTGGTATTTTGGGGTCTTTGAGCGTTCTTTTCGACTAATTTGTATTTAATTTAGTACTTATACACTACACAACTATGTTGTCAGGGTATTATAGCTTTGTGCAGCCCCAAAAGTTTGTAACGCCGCGAAATATTGGTCCTAGACCCACCCTTAAGTAAGTCATATCTCAACTAGCTGAGTCGATCTAGACATGTGTGTCCGACCGTCCGTCCGTCTGTCCATTATATTTTGTGAACACGATACGGGCCACAGTTATTGACCAATCTCCACGAAATTTTGCATGTAGGATGGGTTCTGGCCAATGAAGACCCCTATTGTTTTTGGTAAAGATCGGATTATATTTAGGGGATGAAATGGACCAAATACTTAATTTGTGTCCGTTTTTCTGGTCGCAACAGAGGTCGCAATTATGACCCGAATGTCGTGAAAATTTACATGAAGAAAGGGATCGGGCTAAAGAATAAGCATGTCTGTTTTGATAAAGATAGGTCAATATTTAGCGGGTCAAATGGACCCTGAATTTTGTGTGAAAAATTACAAAATTTGTATTCTATTGCGTATATATTTTATCCTGACGGACCCGAGAAGTTCATAGTATATCCAAGAGTAGTGGTTGGCCTTTAAATTGATACCAATTATATTGTCGTATGTACTCAGATGTGGGAGTTGCACTTAAATATTAACAGGTGCTTACGTATTCAGATTATATTTTTCCGTGTAGCCCCCATATAAA